TTATTCATCGGAGGGTGGGGACAGACGAAATATACCGGTAGAAAAGTAGATAGATGGAGAAAGGAAAGTTGATAGGGAAACAGACGGAGAAAAAGAAACAAAGAGAGAAAGAGGATGCAAAAGATAGAGAAAGAGAGATTGAAGGAGAAAGGAAAAGGAAAGAGAAATGCAGAGAAATAGGAAGGAGAAAAAAGAAAAAGAAAGGAGAAAGGAAGATGGAGAGAAAGAGAGGTAGAATATAAAGAAAGAAGCCGATATAGAAAAAAAAGGAGACGACGAAAGAGAAAAAGAGAAAGATATACAGAAAAAGTAAGCGAAAGAGAAAGTGAATAAGAGAACGGAAAGAGAAAAAGCAGAGAAGGATATAAATAAAATAACAGAGAAATAGGGAGCGAACGAGAAAAGAAAAAAAGAAAAAATAGGGATAAATATAAGGGAGAAAGAGTAAAAAATAAAAAAGAAAGATAGATAAGGAAAGAGTGTTAGAAAAAATGAAATCGTTATAGAAAAAGAGAGAGAAAGAAAAATGAAAAAGATATAGAGAAAAAACAAAGAGAAAGAAAGCGTGTTAAAAAGAGAAAGGATGGTAGACAAAAAGAAAGAAAAGGAAACAAGGAAGAGAAAGAGAAAACAATTGAGAAAAAGAAGAGAGGAAGAGAAAACTACGGAGAAAAGGTGAGAGAGGGAGAGAAAACTATTGAGGGAAAGTGAGAGAGGAAGAGAAAACAAGTGAGAAAAAGTGAGAGAGGAAGAGAAAACAATTGAGAAAAAGTGAGAGAGGGAGAGAAAACAATTGAGGGAAAGTAAGAGAGGAAGAGAAAACAAGTGAGAAAAGTGAGAGAGGAAGAGAAAACAATTGAGGGAAAGTAAGAGAGGAAGAGAAAACAAGTGAGAAAAGTGAGAGAGGAGAAAACAATTGAAAAAAAGTGAGAGAGGGAGAAAACAATTGAGGGAAAGTAAGAGAGGAAGAGAAAACAAGTGAGAAAAAGAGAGAGGGAGAGAAAACAATTGAGGGAAAGTAAGAGAGGAAGAAAACAAGTGAGAAAAGTGAGAGAAAAAAAACAATTGAGAAAAAGTGAGAGAGGGAGAGAAAACATTTGAGGGAAAGTAAGAGAGGAAGAGAAAACAAGTGAGAAAAGTGAGAGAGAGAGAGAAAACAATTGAGGGAAAGTAAGAGAGGAAGAGAAAACAAGTGAGAAAAGTGAGAGAGGAAGAGAAAACAATTGAGAAAAAGTGAGAGAGGGAGAGAAAACAATTGAGGGAAAGTAAGAGAGGAAGAGAAAACAAGTGAGAAAAGTGAGAGAGGGAGAGAAAACAATTGAGGGAAAGTAAGAGAGGAAGAGAAAACAAGGAGAAAAGTGAGAGAGGAAGAAAACAATTGAGAAAAAGAGAGAGGGAGAGAAAACAATTGAGAAAAAAAAGTGAGAGAGGAGAGAAAACATTTGAGGGAAAGTAAGAGAGGAAGAGAAAACAAGTGAGAAAAGGAGAGAGGAAGAGAAACAATTGAGAAAAAAAAGAGAGAGGAGAGAAAACAATTGAGGGAAAGTGAGAGAGGAAGAGAAAACATGTGAGAAAAGGAGAGAGGAAGAGAAAACAATTGAGAAAAAGTGAGAGAGGGAGAAAACAATTGAGGGAAAGTAAGAGAGGAAGAGAAAACAAGTGAGAAAAGTGAGAGAGAGAGAAAACAATTGAGGGAAATAAGAGAGGAAGAGAAAACAAGGAGAAAAGAAAAGAGGAGAGAGGAAGAAAACAATTGAGAAAAAAGGAGAGAGGAGAGAAAACAATTGAGGGAAAAAGAAGTGAGAAAACAAGTGATAAAAAAGTGAGAGAGGAAGAAAACAATTGAGAAAAAGTGAGAGAGGGAGAGAAAACAATTGAGGGAAAGTGAGAGAGGAAGAGAAAACATGTGAGAAAAGTGAGAGAGGAAGAGAAAACAATTGAGAAAAAGTGAGAGAGGGAGAGAAAACAATTGAGGGAAAGTAAGAGAGAAGAGAAAACAAGGAGAAAAGAGAGAGAGGAGAGAAAACAATTGAGGGAAAGTAAGAGAGGAAGAGAAAACAAGTGAGAAAAGTGAGAGAGGAAGAGAAAACAATTGAGAAAAAGTGAGAGGGAGAAAACATTTTGAGGAAAGTAAGAGAGGAAGAGAAAACAAGTGAGAAAAGTGAGAGAGAGAGAAAACAATTGAGGGAAAGAGAGGAAGAAAACAAAAAAATTGAGAGGAAGAGAAAACAATTGAGAAAAAGAGAGGGAGAAAACAATTGAGGGAAAGTAAGAGAGGAAGAGAAAACATGTGAGAAAAGTGAGAGAGGAAGAGAAAACAATTGAGAAAAAGTGAGAGAGGGAGAGAAAACAATTGAGGGAAAGTGAGAGAGGAAGAGAAAACAAGTGAGAAAAGTGAGAGAGGAAGAGAAAACAATTGAGAAAAGAAAAAGGGAGAGAAAACAATTGAGGGAAAGTAAGAGAGGAAGAGAAAACAAGTTGAGAGAGGGAGAGAAAACAATTGAGGGAAAGTAAGAGAGGAAGAGAAAACAAGGAGAAAAGTGAGAGAGGAAGAGAAAACAATTGAGAAAAAGTGAAGAGGAGGAGAGAAAACATTTGAGGGAAAGTAAGAGAGGAAGAGAAAACAAGTGAGAAAAAGAGAGAGAGAGAAAACAATTGAGGAAAGTAAGAGAGGAAGAGAAAACAAGTGAGAAAAGTGAGAAAACAATTGAGAAAAAAAGTGAGAGAGGGAGAGAAAACAATTGAGGGAAAGTGAGAGAGGAAGAAAACATGTGAGAAAAGGAGAGAGGAAGAGAAAAACAATTGAGAAAAAGTGAGAGAGGGAGAGAAAACAATTGAGGGAAAGTAAGAGAGGAAGAGAAAACAAGTGAGAAAAGTGAGAGAGGAAGAGAAAACAATGGAGAAAAAGTGAGAGAGGAAGAGAAAACAATTGAGAAAAAGTAAGAGAAGAAGAGAAAACGATTGAGAAAAAGTGAGAGAAGAAGAGAAAACGATTGAGAAAAAGTGAGAGAGAAGGTGTAACTAAGAGAGAGTAAAAGTGAGAGACAGGGAGATTACATTAATTCTAAAGAGATAAAAAAATTCAATTGGGATTTAGAAAAAATCTTTCTTTTCTATGACCCAATGAAAACAGCAGCAATAGCAAAAAATATTTCATCAAGACGAAAAAAAAACCATCAAAAATTAATAATATCGTTATGGGATGGGGAGAGTGAGACACCATCAGAAAGAGAGATATGACCTGTTTTTTTCAGAAGGCGGGAAAGTTTTCAATGAAGTGACGGCTGTTATTCTTCCGTGACTGACATTTTGAATCTGGCCTAAAACGCCGATGAAAACATGGCCGCCCTCTTGCAAAAGACAGTCTTCAAATTAAAAGGCTTTTAAAAGTGTTCTGATATCAGCATTTCTGTTTACAGAGAGTTTTGTTTTCGAATTTTTATATTTTTATTAATATATTCATTTAGCATTTTTCAATTTAAAGCAAAAAAGAAATCTCTGACAGTCTTTTAATTTATTTATAACTAAAAGCCTCTCCTTTCTATTCGAACTAAATTCTAACTGGTCATACTTTAAAATGTTCTAAAATTTAGCATCTAATGAATCTTTTTTTTTTTAAGTGTGATGCTAGAATATGTAGTCTTTTCTTCGTTTTCACTTAAATATATAAACGAAAAAATGTTTTCTTTTCCCATTTGTTGAGCATATAGTTAAAAAACAGAATTATAGAGTTCATATAATATTGATAATAGGCGTCGATAAAAGATTTTTCAATGATATAAAATCTATTATTGTATATTATTTATTCAGGTGCAGCATTCCACTCATTAAAAAAATTACTAAATAAATTTAGTTTTCTATTTTTGTACATATATATCTCGTACATCATGTTGCAAGTGGATTATTTTGATCCACTGAAATGCAATGGTGCATCTTTGAAATTGAATGGTGCGTCGTAGCAATTATTCTTGGCTGCAGAATGTAAAGATGGCATGACAGGACCGTTACGATAAAATACAGCAAAAATAAGATTAAAAAAGAGCTAAAAATTAATGATGATGACGCACCATATAAGAACTTAAATGAAGACTGGTGCGTCTGTGCAGGTGATGTAATTGTTAACAGCTGGAAAAGAAATCGATGAGGCGAGTTCGAATCTCAGCCGCATTCGTTACATTAACTTTCGCACAAACAACCTTTGGAACGGTATGAATCCATATATTCTCGCAGCTATGGAATAAATAGCAGGACAGACTGGGCTCTCTAGCTGTGATTGGCAACCTATCTAGAAGAAGGACAACTCAAAATTCGAAACCACGTGTAGTTATGGCATTGCTCAGACTATGCAGCAATTTACAGGTTCATTCAGTTCAAAATGACTCTATAATCTCAGATGTGTTGTTCTATTATTATTATCATTATTATTATTATTATTATTATTATTATTATTATTATTTAATCTCCTTTGTGATGTGTACTCATTTCTTTCCGGGTTTCGACTAGAGACCTACGGTCAGAATGGCATCATGACATTTTCCACTGAGTAATTAAAAAAAAAAAATTACATAGATAAAGCCCTTTGTATGGTGCGGTCTGTACCCGTGAGAACATTTTTTTGTATTTCTTTAAGGCATGTGCTTCCAGGAATCTCTTCAATTAGTCTACTGGAATCTTTTCCAATCAATCCTAGGGCTCCAACTACAACAGGGATTGTTGATGTTCTCATGTGCCACATTTTTGAGTTTTCGAAAATCAAGGTCCTTGTATTTTGATAGCTTTTTGAATATCTTCAAAGATACACTGCAGTCCGTAGGGACTGCCATATCAATAAGGAGACAATTTTTTGTTTGCGGTCTCTAATAATGATGTCAGGATGATTCGCTTCGATTGTTCTGTCTGCGTGCATTGTGTAGTCCCATAAAATTGTTGCATATCCTGTCTCCGTAACCGGGTTTGGGTGGTGTTCATACCAATTTCTTGCATGTTCCTTTCCGTAGAAGTTGCACATTTTCCAGTGCAGATATTGGCCCACTCTGTCATGCCGGGTTTTATACTCAGTGGGTGCCAATATCGTGCAACCTAATACAAGATGATCAATTGTTTCTGAATATTTATCACAGACAAGTCTAAATTCTAGATTGTAGAGAGACGGACTATATCAGGCTATTTTCTTCACACTCTTTAATGAGATATTACAAGGATATCATCGAGTCCACATGCTTTGTGGGGATCAGGTTTAGAGATGATAGCAGAGACCATGGGAGGGGTTATATGCATATCACTCAGAAGAGAATCAGTTAGTGGGAAGTTAGGCAGGGATATTCCAGATGAGCCAACAGTAGAATTTGAAGAGAAGTTACGAGCAAAGCATTCAGTCTTATCAGCAGAAGATGGTAACACTTCAATTCGATTGAAGAAGTGGTGGGTATAGAGACCTTGCATTTATGACGCCAGTCATCATGAAAACCAATTTTGATGCTATGCGTTGTCTCATTCTCTCAGCAAACAGGGTTTTAGCTGCTCCGAGGACTTGTTTACATTTGTTACGAACAGTAGCAAATAGGCACCTGTTATGACGAGAGCTGTCACGCTGGTATAACCGGAAATAGTGGTTCTTCTGTGCAATGGCGACTGAGCGTGCATGGAGAGGATTGCGGTTTCACGTGGTATTTCCGAAAAGGGATGAAAGCATCCATGCTGGCTTTGATCCAAGAAGTAACCCCAGTGACACAATTTGGGCTAGGGAAACAAGTTGGGAAGTCCATGATTTGAGTGAGCGATTGGGCAATGGAAAAATTTATTGTCTGTATACTGGTAACGTATGGAATGTTTCAGCCCCGTGTTTTGGTGCGTATTAAAGTCACCGAAGACAAAGATGTTCGCAGATGGATGGAGAGAAAGCGCGTTTTCTATACTATCAGCTATTGCGTCTAACATACTGAAGTCTTTGGAAGAGTGGGGGAGCGATAAAGGAAAAAGAGATAGCTGACAGAGTTTAATAGTGAAAGCCGGATGCACATGAAAGAGTAGTCGGCGGCCTCGAGAGACAGTTCTCTAGCCATCGGGAGATTAAACCTCAGATTGACGCCCCAAATCTCTGAAATGTTCGTATTGGAGCTTCCGGTCGTGAATGCCAAAGCGCATGCGCGAAATCAAAATTGCGACAATTTACACATCGCATCCCGTATATATACTTAAATATTACCTTAAAAATCTTATTAAGATTCAGTGGTTTCTCCTTTCGAGTCTTCAGGTTGATTTGCTTATTAATGACTAAACCAATCTGTTATATCTCTTTACGATAATATGAATATTGCTCATGGACTAGATACTTCGCACTTGCTAAAACCTGCTGAATTTGATCGCATTCGATGTATTATTTACAAGCATCGAACTCACTACAGACGAGTAGTGGTTTTCCAACTATAGCTTAGATGTGGCACAAGGCCGAAATTATGGGGTACCAAGTGAGGATCGAACTCACTGCTCAATCGTAATTCTTCTAGCAAAACAAGCTTGCTGGCCATTACACCACCTCGATGTACCCCATTGGGATTTTCCAAGCGAAGCTTACATGTGGTACGATGCCGAAAGTATGGGCGCCTAGTGAGGATCGAACTCACTAAACAGTCGTATTTGTTCTGGCAAGAAAAGCTTGGTAACCATTACACCACTCCGAGGTGCCCAGTGATTTTTCAAGCGTAGCTTAGATGTGGTACAAGGCCGAATGTAGGGGGCACCCAGTGCGGATCGAACACACTACTTAGTAGTAATTGTTCTAGCGAGACAAGCTTGCTAACCATTACACCGCCTCGATGTGCCCAACTCACTACACACGAGTAAGGGTCAAGCAAAGTAACCTCGCTGACCATTATCACACGCTTAGGGGCACCATGTAATAATTTCTCGGATATTCAGGTCGTTAATACTGTTTATTATAAACTGAGCTTTTACTTAAATGTTTCTATCTATAAAAAGAACGCATAAACATAAAGTATGTCTTAATATGTATGTTTTTAAGATATTTTTATGTTTATACATTCTTTTTATATATACAAATATTTAAGTAAATGCTCTGTTTTATAATAAACAGTATTAAACAACATTTACCGGCCTGAATGTCCGAGAAATTTTCATAGAAAATATTCATCCTCCGACAGGATTCGAACCTGTATCCTATATGGAACCATCATTTAACCTCAGGCGCTCTTAACCGATCCATCGACAAAGAATCGTTAAGAACACGTCGCAATAAAGTCATTATACAGTTACTTATAATAAAAAGGCATAGCATTGAAGCAGTTGGCTTCAGTTACACTTGATTACACCATCTAACGAATTAAAGATAAGTCTGAGGTTGATGGTAAATGTACAAGATGACTACAAAGATCGTTCCGGAAGATCATTGATAGATTGTGATTTCAGTTCCACACACACACGCAGAAAAAAAGAAAAATACTGGATTTTAAAATTAAATACATATAAACTAGGGTTAAATAAAGACTTAGGTATTTTAAATCTTTATAAATATCTCAATAGTTAAGCATTTTTTTAGATATAGTTAAATTTTTTTTTTTAAACAACATCTAAAATATTTATTACAGTTAGATTTAAGTTAGGAATATCCGAACAGTGACGTTCCATATCACGTGACGTCCGCGTCTCACGACGGACGCTACTTGCTAACAAACAGTAATTTTAATTTATTTGTAACAAACAGTTATTTCTGATGAAAGATTGAGGTCAATCTGAAATATCAAATATATATATATATAAATAAATACTTTCATAAAAAAACACTATTATTCTTTAATTTGCAACTTTTTCCATATATATATATATATATATATATATATATATAATCGATTTTTTCATGCTTCTACGGCAGTTTTCATGTAGTTTGCGGCCATTTTCTACTGGCCAGTGTGAGAGCCTATTGCTGGCTGCCACGAATAGGCAGGAAGATTCTATTGGCCAGCGTGAGAGCCAACAGCTGACTGACACGAATGTTAACTAGCAGGCAAAAAAAAAATCGATAGTTGCATTCGTCACAAGTGGGAAAAATTTAAATCTGCATGGCACTTTACTCCAATTGGCTCATTCGCTTGCTTAAACTCAACGTTGATTTTGATTCCACAGAACTGGGTTGGGTCTGAAAAAGTATTTGTTTTTAACATTCTTTTTTCATTCGGTTTTTCCAGTTATGAGTCCTTTTTTAAAGCT